AGTTGACGTCTATGTTAAGCGTAGATTCTATAATTTCAACGAAATTGTGAGAAGTTTTCCCAAAAATATATACTCTATCTTTACCAGGGCACAACGATGAACATGTGAAACATTTCGAGCTCTCATCGACAAATTTCTCAGTGTTTCTCCCAATATCCACATTTTCGCGTGAAACCTTNTCAAAAGGTGAGTCTGGCGCGAAAAGGTTCCTGAAAATGGAACCCGAGCTGTGATTGGCCAATTCGGAGAAAGGAATGTAGTTCGGTTGTCAGCAGCCGTTCTTTTGGGGGAGCGTTGCGTGACATCCAAAAAAAACGGCTGCGCGGGAGACTAGCACGCAGGTGACCCCGTCAAGAGGATGAGTGCGTGACCAGAAAGGGAGGTCCTGGGACTACGACTGCGCGAGCAGCAAACATCATTGTCTTACTGCCAAACCAGGATTAATCTCAAGCAAATGCATGACCACAAGGGCCGATCCGCAATTGCGAGTAAAAAGATAACAGAGGGAAGCAAAATAACTGAATGGGAAAGGGTGAATTGCGGACGTTTTCTCGTCCACAGTACTCATGACACTTGCGCTTGAATTCGATTTTACACTCGTCAGACAGAGTGCGACTACAATTAGAGTGGATTTCCCCGAAGTAGGCACAATTTGATCAAGTACTAGAACAACTGTTAGAAATTACTTTTAATGCAAAATGCAAAGCAAGAAAACTGGACTGACAAGTGTATGTTAATTGAATTTTTTTTCTGTTTTAAGTGCGATGTCCCATGGATACTACTGACAGGGGTACTGCAGGCCGGAAACGGAAGTTAAGCAATATCGCAACAGGTTGCCGATGAGAAAACAAAGTGAAACAAGCAAATTTGCTCAAGCGCGGGAAAAGCCAAGTTAACAAGTGATGACTGCTTTTAGTTATGCTACTGACTGGTCGACGAAATTAGCGAGCAAGGTTTAAACAAAACTAATTTAACTTGAAACTTCTCTGCTTCTTACCGTGCTTTTGTGCTTTGAGTCTAATATAAACGTCATGGAAGTTGCCATTCTCCACAGAATGTTCTCCAACTACACACATGTACTGCGCACGCTCTCCGTCTAACACGCATGTGCGGTGTCCTCTGTTGTCCCATGCCATGATAGCTGATATACCACCCACAAGGATGAGAAATAACATGTATTGCTCGAAACAGGTGAAACATCAGAATGTTAGTATATGGAGAGTAAACATTTTAGTAATGATAATTCTTGTTATGGTCAACGATATTTCTGCTGCCGTTCTTGTAAGTGAATTTCCCATTGAGTCCAATGCCTTGGTAAATCAGTGAAATGCGTCAGCGTTTAAATGCTGCCTATAGGAGTGCGATCAAAAAGACATTTAAACTCTCTCACTCCCCAGACATAGAACCTACATCTGTTTTTAAACACTATAAATTTGTTTGTTAGCTTTTCACTGAATTAAGGTCTTGCGCTCTATCGAGAAAAGTATCATTTAAAATGATAACCTTCTAATTCTCATCACCTGTCGCTTAGACAGTGTGCATAAACATTAAGAAGAATATGTTACATGATCACCCAACTGCGAGAGAAGTTTAGCAAAGATGTCGCATGCTCATCTTCTAAACTCAGTTCGAAAAATTTATCTTACGAAGCTTTCATCAAAACCTTTTCAAAGATCAAACGTTAGAGCCTCAGAGCAATCCATGAAGATTCAAACAAAGTGAAATTTGTTCGCTGCATTTAAAAATAACCACCATAATAATGATCTAAAATGGAATCCTAATGTTTGTGTGCTAAAAAAAACTGTAACATAACTGATCAAATTCAATGAGATAAAAAGCTGTAGAAAAACCTACGGGAACTAAGTTCCATGAGTCATATGAGTAAGTTGACAAGCGAAATGTTTCATTTTACGAACAAAAATATATGTTAGTATATAATATAATACTGTCATCTTTAGGATCATGATAGTCGCATGTTTTAAAATAACGCGCAAAAAACATTTATGAAAAAAAGACCTCACCTTTCAGGATGATTTTGAGTTTATTTATTTCTTTATTTATTTACTTAACTTTAATTATACAGATCTTAATATACAAATTGTAGATAAATTAACAATTACAATAAATAAAAAAAGAAAAAATACAAACAAAATAAAGGTTTATTTTTCTCCTCCTGTAGCTAGAAGTACTGTCGTTGTTATGCAGAAAATACCATTTCAGTTTCTAGCTTTCAGTTTCATTAATCATAGCACAAAAACACTACGAAATCTTCCTGCCTCCAAAAATCTCAGATATCCGTAACTCAAAGATAAATCAAACTTGGTTTCATCTCTTAGCAGATGTGGTGTGGTTTATTTGTAAAAAAAAAAAGGGGTAAGTACGATTTATGAGTCATTAGAGATTACACCTTCTGTTCGATATCATTCTTGCGTTACAATATATCCTTCCATTTCTCTGACTGGCTTGTATAGGTACTTCTATGAAGACAAGCAAAAATATC